TTTTTCCTTATACTGACTGCAGCTCCCAGAGAGGATGGAGTTTATCACGGAAGCGAAAAAACTTTTCCTGGATATAGATATGGAAACATTTTTGCCTGAAATCTCAGCTTCACCAGAAAATGGAGAAATTTTCCCCTCTTTGGAATCTCTTCCTTCATCAATCACCAATTCTCCCTACCTTACGAGCCCAGAAACTCTTCCAAGTCCAGACTTTGCTGATCTGTTGGAATTTGATTACCAGTTTCAAAATCACAGCACAGGAACTTCTTTGATGGATGATATTTCTCAGTCATTTTCTCCTGTGGTGGGTCTGGCCCATAACAGGCTTAATTCAACCAATGATGAACTCTCATGTGCCACAAATGTGATTTCAGCACCCAGAATGAGTGACCAGACTGATATCCTTCTCAATGTGTGCAACTCCTTTAATCAGATAGAGAAAAACTTGAATAATATTGGTTCAAAGTGGACAGCTAACTCAGGGTGCCCCTCAGAGCACTCAAATGTTTCTCAAGAATGGCCGTCTAATAGGTTATTCTCCCAATTAGGCCTTGACCAGTTGTTGAATGACATTCCTGGGAGCTCTTTTGGCAGTTCTAGTTGCAATGATCAGTCATTATCAGCAGGAAGCAAGAGGAAGAGAACGGGAAGTCCTTTAGAGACCAGCTACTCAGCCAAAACTTCTCAACTTTATAGCAACTTGAACATACCATTATCCAAGGATCATGAAAGTACTTCAAAAGCAACAAAGAAGAAGGCTAAAAGAGGTACTCGGCCTGTTCCAAAAGATCGAATTCGCACCTATGAACGTCTTGCAGAATTGAGAAAGCTCGTTCCAAATGGTGAAAAGGTCATCTTAATTTTCACCACTTTCATAACTTTCTATATAAATATAAATAAATTAATATACCTCATAAAGGGGAAAACATAATGTCTGAGGACTAATTCAATGAGATTAAATTAAATTGCAGATGAGCATTGATCGTCTGTTGAATCAAACTATAAAACAGCTACTTTTCTTGCAAAGAGTCACAAAGCGTGCTGAAGAACTTAAAAACGCAGATGTGCTTAAGGTTCATATTTTTCTCTTACATTATCACAATTATAGGACATTATCTCTTTTTACACAGTTCTCAAGTGTTAATTCTCATCTGTATTGGATAACAGGAAAGAAAGGGTCATAAAGAGACTGGCTTCAATAGTAATGCCAACGGAGTGACATGGGTGTGTGAAATTGAAAACCAAACAATGGTTTGTCCCCTAAAAGTTGAGGAACTTTGTACTCCTGGCCAAATGCTTATAGAGGTGAGATTTTTTTAAATTCCTAATTATCTTTAATTTTATTAATAAATCTATCTCCTGTTCTCATAGAAAATTGTTCCAAATCTTGAATCTGTATTGATCTTGTTAACTTCTTGGTTCAGATCCTATGTCAAGAACAAGGTTTCTTTTTGGAGATTGTAGATATAGTCCGAGGTTTTGGGTTGAATATACTGAAAGGAGTCATGGAACTTCGTGTGACCAAGATATGGGCACACTTCGTCGTTGAGGCTGAGGTATTAGATCAAGTAAATCTAAGAGGGAATAATATAATGTATTTTGCCAAGACTTAATATGGTATCAAAACATAGTTAGCACAAACAAGCTATTTGGTTATAGTAACATTAGTAAGCCTAAAAATAGTAATACTGGTTTAAGATTAGTGTGCTCCAATGAGTCTTTTAGGTTATTACTGTCAAGTTGTTGAGACTTCATTTGCGCTTATTGTTTTTGTGATTCCTGGCAGGAAAATCAGATTGTGTCGAGGCACGAGATATTTTCCTCCCTTCTTCAACTGTTACAAGTGGCAGGACCAAGTGAATTGTGTTTGAATGATCAAGTTGGCAGCATTAGAGATGGAATGAGTAGTCCATTTAACAGTTGCTCGGAATATGTTCTTCCCTTTATTGGCATGCCCGAGGGAATACCATGCATGAACCTAGTGTGAAGTTAATTTATTACCCGTGCACGTGGAATACAGTTTTGGAATAGAAAATCTCATCTCGGCTGAATAGTTGGTTGTCATATTGATCTCTAGTGGAGAGGATGGATAGAATGGGGAATTGATGAATGGATATAGGCACAACAGCCTCATGAGGAAAATGAGTGTGTTTCTATTCCAGAACTGTATTCATATTTGCCTTTTGCGATTTGAAAACTCACTGATTATAGGCTAACAGCTCACAGTTGGAAATGTTTGTAATTTTATTTTCTACTTTTTTCATCATGAAAGTTAGATTTGTGGTATTTCTTCCCTTCAGCTATTTTATCTACAACTGAGTTCAGAACAAACAGCTCTTTGTTCACAAAATGCATTGCTGCATTTGGTTTCAAGTACAGAACATGATCACTAACTCAAAGCTGATGAAACCAAAGTCTTGAGCATTTGAGCACATGAAAAAGACTTATTAATTAGAAGCAAAAGAGAATGTGATGCTATGATGTATCATCTTCTTTAATGCTTCAACTATCCTTTCAGAATAAACTAGTTCAACTTGAAATGAAAGAAGCTCCTAATAATTGCAACTTGTCAGTACTGGCATTCTGATTCAAGCAGTGTAGTATATCAGTGAAACTGTGGAATGAAAGAAACGTGAATCAATGTTGAAAATAGTCTATATTTTTAAAAATGTCATATTGTAAGGTATCTGATTGATATGGATCATAATGAAGTTTGTTTGGAATTCCATAGTAATATGGTTTTGCGTAGGGCTGGACTCGGGCCGGTTCGGGCCCGGTTCGGGCCTGGGCCCGGCCGGGCCTCGGGCCAGGAAAGGGGAGGCCCGAGCCCGAGCCCGAACCGCCGGTGGCCGGTTCCGGTTCCGGGCCAAACCGGGCCGGGCCGGGCCGAACCGGCCCAATTAATTTTTTTTTTTTTGTTCTCCTATTTAATCCCCTACCCCTACCCCTCAACGCCAAACCATCCCAAACCACCTCAAATGGCCCAAAATAGCTAATCCAACCTAAAACTTAAAAAAATTTCAAAAAAAAAAAAAAAAAATTAAAATCCGGCCCGGACCGGGCCCGAACCGGCCGGGCCGGTTCACCAAAACCTGGGCCCGAGCCCGGACCGCCCAGCACCCGGGCCGGGCCAAACCGAACCGGTGGACCCACCGGGCCACGGGCCGGGCCGGGCCAAACAGTGACTGGGCCGGTTCGGTCCCGGGTCGGGCCGCCCGGCCCGAGTCCAGCCCTAGTTTTGCGTAAGTAATGGAAAGATTTAGATATAAAAAAGTATAGAAGAACATGATGAAGAAGGGAAGATGAGGATGAAGAAGAGAAGAAAATTATCCAATTTTTCTTTGGATATCAATATGGGCCATGGGAATTTACATCCTATTTTCGAATTTGAATTTATTTAGATTGCTTTAATAAATTGATGGACCGAGGGAATTTGCATCTGAATCATTAAAATTTGCACCCAATAACTCATTTAAATTGGAGTTTATACCCCCATTTGTAATAAACTTTTTGAAAATATAAATGCAAACACTTTTTTTTATTTTAAAAATAGGTATAAACTCAAATTTGACCAAAAAATGGAATGCTAAGAAAATTCCCAAATTTATCTACTACCACTAATAAGCTTATGTATACAATTTATTTAATTATTTATTTTTACAACCAAACAGATAATAGTATTACTCAAGCAAATCGTTCGCCAACTAGCTTAGAATACAATCCGAAATAACATCAAAACTTCTATCTTGATCAAGTATTAACACGCCTTGTCTAGCTAACAAATGAGCAAGCAGTTCGCATACTGTCTACAAAAAGAGAAACTAAACCTTCTCTTTATTTTCAGCAAAACTCGAATATCCTCCGAGAGCAGGTCAACGTAGGAGCACTATTTCCTCCCTCGTACACCATTCATCTACTACTGCTAATAAGCTTCTGTGTATGCAATTTATTTAGAACAAAATTATTTGTACACGAAATTTGTACACATTTTATGTACATACTCCTAGTTGCTTGATACAACTCGTTCATAAATATTCTGTGTACACAGGTAACTAGGCGTGTATACATGGGCACATTTGATCCGGAAGGAGCACGGCTGATTTATTTATTTAAAAATCAAAACTCCAATTCCACAACATTCCCATAAGTTTTATTCAAACTTCAACTTCTAATCTACTAAATTATTCTAAAAAACATTTGTCTTTCCTCCTATTGAGCAGAGAATAAACCTTACTCATATTGTAAGGGTGTGTTTGGGAGTTGTTTTTGGAGAGGAGGGAAAGGCACTTAAGCACGTGAGGGAAATAACCCCAATTTGTGTTTGAGAGTTTAAATAAAATGAGGGAAATGTTTTGGGGTTTTCTAATTCCCCAAAACCTTGGTCTTCTAATTGAGGAAATCCGAGTTTAAAATCAAATAACTTTAATGGTTATTTCTAATGTTATCACTCATAATAAAAGTGTTTAAACTCATAATAATGTAGTATGTTATCCGAGTTTCCAACCACTTAAGCACGTTATCCTTATTTGATTTTAACATAAAAGTGTTAAAACTCATTTCTAATGTAGTATGATATGTTTGAAATGTGCAACTTTTTTAAATGAGCATAAAACGATACCAAATGAGTGTACATAACTTACAAAGTGAGCATAAAAAATTCACAAGCTCATTTGTGTATGTTCATTCATTTTGGGCGTTATACACATTTGAGTATTGTAATCTTTGTCCATAACACCAATTGAACATACATAACTTACAAAATGAGTATCAAAATATTCAAAAACTCATTTGAAATATGTAATGTGCTCAAATATATATATTTGTGTATGCTCATTTGTTTTGATAAACTATATTAGGTGGGGGGCACCTAATTAAACAAGTCAAGAGAAAGATGGAACGGTCCACACAAGTTATGTTCAATGATTCAATTATATATGTGTGTGCCGTGTGTGTATTATGTTAGGCGAAAGCACTAGACAAGGAAAAAGCTCTGAGAAGGACGATGGCATATAGATTCAGGAACTGTCAACACTCTCGGTGACCTATTCTCATTCTTCAACAAGGTTTATCTAATTGTTTCATTTTTGGGATGAAAAATATAGAAGAAATAAATAAATAAATTGTCACGCCCCAGACCGCGTCTGTGCCACGTGGACAACCGTCGTACAACCCAATAAGAATAACCGCAGTTCATCCTTACCGAATTGCACAAGACGTCCGATAGATACATATGCCAAAACCGATTAGTAAACATACATAACAACATCAACATACAATCAAACACATAGCGGAATATAAGTGTTTTAATAAGAACCCACACAAGGGTAAAACAAGAGCTCGCAGGCTCCATTAATTTATAAGTCAAAATAGTTCCATGAGCATTATTTAATTATTTAAAAATGGAACGAGAGGAAGCACGAACCACGTCTTCTCTCCATCGATCTCCCGAGCAACGGGTGCAGGAAGTAAGCTCTAGCTTCAACCTGAAAGGGTGGTTCCCCCGAGGGATCAGTACTACAGAAAAGTACTGGTGAGGGCAAACTGTATGTAATGTAACTAACGTTTCTCACGTGAGACCCTCAAAATAGGGTGATAGTATAATTATGGGCATAACTCTTAGCTACCCCTTTTCAAAACAAAATGTATACATATATACATATGAGTAAAATATCTGGCCCGTGGGCCCATTTGTCTTTCAAATCATTTAGGCATAACAGCCTTATTAAATTCACCCTTCCCATGTCTTACCCTCGAGTGGAGTCACCCGCAGGCTGACTCACCCGATATCAAAATATAATTACTGTGGGGGCCCTTCGGACTCCCATATCACGGACATGATTTAAATCAATTCCTAGACCAAGGAAAATATCCTATCGGAAACTCGTTCCCGATCAAGCACATTTAATCATTTAAAATCATTACCTTGAGGTTCACCTACCTCGAGGACTAACCGTCCTTACAATCATAGTTTACATTCCCGGGGCTAACCCCGCCTTGAGGAGTACGCATACACCCTCATCCTACGTGTAATTTGCTGGAGGTTAACACACCTCAAGGACTACACGGGCCCTTGTTACCTATGTGCAATTTGATGGAGGATACCACACCTCAAGGACTGCACTTGCCCTTGTTACCTATGTGTAATTTGCTGGAGGATACCACACCTCAAGGACTACACGGGCCCTTGTTACCTGTATGCAATTTGATGGAGGATACCACACCTCAAGGACTGCATTTGCCCTTGTTACCTATGTGTAATTTGCTGGAGGTTAACACACCTCAAGGACTACACGGGCCCTTGTTACCTATATGCAATTTGATGGAGGTTAACACACCTCAAGGACTGCATTTGCCCTTGTTACCTATGTGTAATTTGCTGGAGGTTAACACACCTCAAGGACTACACGGGCCCTTGTTACCTATATGCAATTTGATGGAGGTTAACACACCTCAAGGACTGCATTTGCCCTTGTTACCTATGTGTAATTTGCTGGAGGTTAACACACCTCAAGGACTACACGGGCCCTTGTTAACATTTGAGTATAAAGGACTCCTCCTGGTCCTACAGAGTTTTACCCAACCTTACTCGGTCCCGGGTATTCACCCGCCATGTATAATCTACCACGTACCTCGCCCGGTCGTGGTCTATAATTTCTTTACTAACGACTAGTCCAAGTCTTAGCGTTTAAACCGTATTTGAAGCCTTAGCAACCAATGTGGACGGGTCCCACCCGAACGACCCACGTTAACCTGCTCAAAACTGCCTGTTTTGGGCCTAGTCCAATACCCGGTCGGGTATCCAATCTCACCCGGTCGGGTAGGTCGGGGCAGAAGCCCCTGGAACTGATTTTACTTGAGACCCGGTCGGGTCCATACCCTTACCCGGTCGGGTCTAGTAAGACAGTGGCTTCTGGAGCCATTTTTAATCAATACCCGGTCGGGTATGTACCCATACCCGGTCGGGTATCACCTTTGCCTCGGCGGTCAACGCCCGTTTGACCGCCCAAACGGAGTCCGATTAACGCGAAATTTTATACGCATGTACTCCTTGACGTCCTTGATCCAAAAATACCAATTTGGATCCTTGGAGCATTGTACATAATAAGTTATCACATTTTTAATCATCAAACATACAAAACATGCCTTTCAACTATGTTTTATATACAACCATGGCATAAGCCAATACTTGATTAACTTTAGTCATTCCATAAAATATATACTTGATTACTTTAGGTAATCTCATGCCTCAATCAAAAGTTATAAAGCATAAAGCCGTCTTCTCACAACTATTAATAAGTACTTCATACTTATTAATCGTTTATATATTCCGTTCTAGTTTATTCTTCATAACTAGATTTAATTTAATGACATGTATGATTAAGTACTTAAATCCTTCAAGAATACCATCTTGAGTTACCTTAGTTAAATCATCCATGATTATCCTTCATCAAAAATATTAATAATTCTTTTACTCATTAATCATGCCATTTTCACATAACTTATAATCATTATAGCTAATCACATGTTTAAACACTTTTAAACATTTCTATACATATTCACATACTAGATTACTCTAGTTATCTCATACATAGTCCATATAGGTATTTTTTTTATACATTGGACAATAATATATTCATGATTTATCCACAAATAAATCTCTTATTCATTAATCATGTAATATTTCCATAATTCATATTCACCATGACTAATGATGCATTTTAATCCATTTAATCCTTTCTCAAATCATGATAAGGTTTTTATTTAGGTAATCCCACGTTTGACCCAAGAGTTACAAGACACGTAGTCGTCCACTCACCTTGAAATGACGCTAGCAAGCTTTTATCTTCTTTGTTTGAACTCCGGTGACTTTTGGAATTTTCCGGCAAAACTCCGGCGGCTCCGGCGACTTTCCGGCCACTCCTAGGTTCCTTGAGAAGTCTAGAATACCTTGGTAAAATTCCTAACAAGGTTTCACAACCAAATGTGGTATAAACGTCAAACCTTCCAAGAAGGTGTTTTCCGGTGAACCGGTCTTACTCCGGTCATAACTCCGTTCGTGGTTAAACTTAACCCTCGAAACCATCATTCTACACCTCTAAAAGTGTAGAACAAGATTAAGAGTCTATTATATGATTTATAAAATCATATGAGATTAAATGAAGAATGAAATGTTAATGAGACCATTACCTCAATTAAACAAGGTTTTTCTCTTCTTTTCTCACTCTTTCTTCTTCCTTGGACCTCCTCCAACCTTGATCTCGGTTATGGCTATGGAGAATGAAGTTTTGCAGTGGTTTCTTCCTCCTTGGGTTGGCTTGGACGAAGTATAGAGAGGAGAGAGGGTGTAGAGACAAGTTTTGTCTCAAAAGGCCAATAAGTAATGGAGAGGGTCCCCATACCTTTCAAAATTGTCTAACCCATCTCTTCATCCATCATACACCACATGATCAGGCTCACAACACTTATTATTAGACCAAAAATCGTGGGGTGGCCCCCACCCATGTGGGAGGTCATCCCAATATGTCCTGGAGTGTACACTTGATCCCGAAAGTTGTATTTTCTGGACTGTTTTAATTAAATTTCATTTTATCGGGTCAAATAAACTATATATCATTCTTCCAATTAATATTGGCCCCTAGAATGAATATATATTATCCCACTTTAATTTCGTGGTCGCCGAAATTAATTTCGGGCTGTTATCTGTTTAATTACTTATACCGGTAATGGGACCTCGTTTGATCGAAAGACCAACTTTATGGCTCAACATTAATTTACACCATCATATAAATATTATCTAAACCAAGATGAATATAATATGTGGTCCGTCATTATCGGATGGTCGCCGCCCACGTGTGGGCCCAACGTGTATTTTACTGTTCAAGTAACGGTAAAAATGAGAACGCGTTGCCTCGAAAATTCACTCGTCATTTCTCATTACTTGATATGTGGTTTCATATTTGGTGACACTTTAATAAAATGTTACACCTCTTTTTAAGTGATCCCAAATGTAAAAACAGATAGAATCTTATCTGTTTGTTCCCAAAATAAAATATCTTTAAGGTAGGGTCCTCCAAAAGTACCCTCCTTTAATATACCAAGTTAATCAATATTATTCATCCCATTATTTTGGTTTCTTAGAATGTTCATATTTCTTCTGTTATAAATTCGTAATCCTACGAATTATTGACAGACCGATAATTAAGGACACCCCACTATCGAATAGTGGCCCTGGCCCGCTCGGCCGTCCAGTTGTCGCTCTTTATAACGATGGGGTCCACGACCCATTCCTACTACTATCATAATAGTATCGTTTTGGAAAATAGTAATATTTTATAAACTTGAAATATCACGTGTGGTCCCACGTCTAAATTAATAACCCTTTATTAATTTAGGACAAAATTTTACTTTCTCATTTATCGAGACTACTCTTAGTCTCGATTTACCTTCTTTAACCATGTACTTTACGGAAAAAAAAAATTTATCTGGGTAAAATTCGGGTCCGGTGTTACAAGTTCACCCCCCCTTACAGGAATTTCGTCCCCGAAATTAACGCTTGAACCTTGAGAAACATTTCTCCCTTCATTATCTGAAGCTAACAATTTTGAAAATAAAAATATTTATGGAAATTAAGGTTTAATTTAATAATACCTTGTGCCAAAGTCGGGCCTAACAAATGGCTTCCGCCATTCCCGGCCTTCACGAGCGAGTTCGCCATTGACTTGTAGAAGGTACCATGTTTGAGGCAACCCTAGTTGGGTTTTCAACCCCCGTGACCCCTCCTCTAGCTCCTGATGTTCCTTCACGCGCACGTTGAGGACAAAGGACCTTGATGTGGCCTGTTTCTCCACAAAAGTAACATCTAGATGGCTCTCGACATCTTCCATAGTGCCTTCGCCTACAATTCTCACATTTGGGTGCCCCCATGCCCCGAGTGCTTGAGCTTTGACTTACCAAGTCCTGGCTCTTACTGAAAAACGGAACTAACTTGTTAGAGTTCCCCTTGCTCTGAAGTTCATACTTCCCCTCTCGTCGTGGAGGGTGAATGATCACCTGGGCTCTTTCTTCTGCTTCCTTTGCATCCCTTGCTTGCCTTTCCTTCCAAAGCTCCTCCCCCTGGAGACCCTGAGCTACTACCTGACTGAAAGTCATGTTGAATTGGTAGGTCGCCCTTTCGCGTATTTCCAAATTGAGTGCATTCCAAAAATGGTTTGCCATTCGATTCTCATTTGCGGCATATTCAGGCAAGAACCTTGCCAGATGTCGGAATCTTTGTTCCAGTTGCTTCACCGTAAACTCATTTCCCTGTTTGAGATCGATATATTCCCTCCTCTTTCGATTTACTTCGAAAGAGGTGTAAAACTGCTCATAGAATGCTTGCTCGAAGTTGTCCCACGTGACAACCCCGTCAAACTTACCCTTGGTGCCTTCCCACCAAGTAGAAGCTAAACCCTCCAATAATCTAGTGGCTACCCTTAACTTTCGTTCAGGGACCACCTGCATGTCATCAGCTGCATCATTCAACCTTTTTATCCACTCGGCTGCTTCCGATATGTCCTCCGTCCCATCAAATGGTTTGCACCCCAAGGCTCTAGCCTCTTTGAGATACTTTGAGATTTTAAAGAGTGGTCCTTCACCATCAGAATCCCTGACTGTCCTAACTTGTGCTCTGTGAGCACCCCGACCCCTCCTGAGAGAAGTCTCGCCTCTGACATGTCCCTCCTGAGATCCCTGTCGTTGTCTTCCCCTTTCACGTTGGTACCATCGGTACATTTCACTAACCTGGTCAGGAGGAATACTATGTATATCCTCCCCACTGTTTTCTTCAAAAGAAGTTTCATCTGACTCGCTTTCAGGGTGATAAGTTGAGTCATCCTCCGAGTCCCATGACTCGAATTCAGTCACATTGTGATCAGCCATCGCGGCTCGTGTTCGTGGGCCTTGATTGCCCATACTTCGCCTCTTACACGACATTGATATCCCCCGATTGGCTTGCCCGGCTATCCCCGGTGCGCGCCCTCTCGGATTTCCTCGAACCGCCCTATCACTACCACCCATTCCTGAAAGAATATGTTGGAATGAGTCTTTGGACTCGTTTGAATGTCAATTGACAGAAACGTACTCAAGACACAACTTGGCTCAAGTCACTGCCATACCAATTGTTAAGGGGCCCATCTTAACAACCAGAGACCTTGCAACTCGATAACCAAATGCTCTTAAAGTACAAAACTTATGCTCATGGTTTTTCATTGAAAACTGTTTTGATAGAAACTCTGTTGAGAGGTTGACTATATAGTTTAGAAATCGTTTGGCTCTGATACCACTTAATTGTCACGCCCCAGACCGCGTCTGTGCCACGTGGACAACCGTCGTACAACCCAATAAGAATAACCGCAGTTCATCCTTACCGAATTGCACAAGACGTCCGATAGATACATATGCCAAAACCGATTAGTAAACATACATAACAACATCAACATACAATCAAACACATAGCGGAATATAAGTGTTTTAATAAGAACCCACACAAGGGTAAAACAAGAGCTCGCAGGCTCCATTAATTTATAAGTCAAAATAGTTCCATGAGCATTATTTAATTATTTAAAAATGGAACGAGAGGAAGCACGAACCACGTCTTCTCTCCATCGATCTCCCGAGCAACGGGTGCAGGAAGTAAGCTCTAGCTTCAACCTGAAAGGGTGGTTCCCCCGAGGGATCAGTACTACAGAAAAGTACTGGTGAGGGCAAACTGTATGTAATGTAACTAACGTTTCTCACGTGAGACCCTCAAAATAGGGTGATAGTATAATTATGGGCATAACTCTTAGCTACCCCTTTTCAAAACAAAATGTATACATATATACATATGAGTAAAATATCTGGCCCGTGGGCCCATTTGTCTTTCAAATCATTTAGGCATAACAGCCTTATTAAATTCACCCTTCCCATGTCTTACCCTCGAGTGGAGTCACCCGCAGGCTGACTCACCCGATATCAAAATATAATTACTGTGGGGGCCCTTCGGACTCCCATATCACGGACATGATTTAAATCAATTCCTAGACCAAGGAAAATATCCTATCGGAAACTCGTTCCCGATCAAGCACATTTAATCATTTAAAATCATTACCTTGAGGTTCACCTACCTCGAGGACTAACCGTCCTTACAATCATAGTTTACATTCCCGGGGCTAACCCCGCCTTGAGGAGTACGCATACACCCTCATCCTACGTGTAATTTGCTGGAGGTTAACACACCTCAAGGACTACACGGGCCCTTGTTACCTATGTGCAATTTGATGGAGGATACCACACCTCAAGGACTGCACTTGCCCTTGTTACCTATGTGTAATTTGCTGGAGGATACCACACCTCAAGGACTACACGGGCCCTTGTTACCTGTATGCAATTTGATGGAGGATACCACACCTCAAGGACTGCATTTGCCCTTGTTACCTATGTGTAATTTGCTGGAGGTTAACACACCTCAAGGACTACACGGGCCCTTGTTACCTATATGCAATTTGATGGAGGTTAACACACCTCAAGGACTGCATTTGCCCTTGTTACCTATGTGTAATTTGCTGGAGGTTAACACACCTCAAGGACTACACGGGCCCTTGTTACCTATATGCAATTTGATGGAGGTTAACACACCTCAAGGACTGCATTTGCCCTTGTTACCTATGTGTAATTTGCTGGAGGTTAACACACCTCAAGGACTACACGGGCCCTTGTTAACATTTGAGTATAAAGGACTCCTCCTGGTCCTACAGAGTTTTACCCAACCTTACTCGGTCCCGGGTATTCACCCGCCATGTATAATCTACCACGTACCTCGCCCGGTCGTGGTCTATAATTTCTTTACTAACGACTAGTCCAAGTCTTAGCGTTTAAACCGTATTTGAAGCCTTAGCAACCAATGTGGACGGGTCCCACCCGAACGACCCACGTTAACCTGCTCAAAACTGCCTGTTTTGGGCCTAGTCCAATACCCGGTCGGGTATCCAATCTCACCCGGTCGGGTAGGTCGGGGCAGAAGCCCCTGGAACTGATTTTACTTGAGACCCGGTCGGGTCCATACCCTTACCCGGTCGGGTCTAGTAAGACAGTGGCTTCTGGAGCCATTTTTAATCAATACCCGGTCGGGTATGTACCCATACCCGGTCGGGTATCACCTTTGCCTCGGCGGTCAACGCCCGTTTGACCGCCCAAACGGAGTCCGATTAACGCGAAATTTTATACGCATGTACTCCTTGACGTCCTTGATCCAAAAATACCAATTTGGATCCTTGGAGCATTGTACATAATAAGTTATCACATTTTTAATCATCAAACATACAAAACATGCCTTTCAACTATGTTTTATATACAACCATGGCATAAGCCAATACTTGATTAACTTTAGTCATTCCATAAAATATATACTTGATTACTTTAGGTAATCTCATGCCTCAATCAAAAGTTATAAAGCATAAAGCCGTCTTCTCACAACTATTAATAAGTACTTCATACTTATTAATCGTTTATATATTCCGTTCTAGTTTATTCTTCATAACTAGATTTAATTTAATGACATGTATGATTAAGTACTTAAATCCTTCAAGAATACCATCTTGAGTTACCTTAGTTAAATCATCCATGATTATCCTTCATCAAAAATATTAATAATTCTTTTACTCATTAATCATGCCATTTTCACATAACTTATAATCATTATAGCTAATCACATGTTTAAACACTTTTAAACATTTCTATACATATTCACATACTAGATTACTCTAGTTATCTCATACATAGTCCATATAGGTATTTTTTTTATACATTGGACAATAATATATTCATGATTTATCCACAAATAAATCTCTTATTCATTAATCATGTAATATTTCCATAATTCATATTCACCATGACTAATGATGCATTTTAATCCATTTAATCCTTTCTCAAATCATGATAAGGTTTTTATTTAGGTAATCCCACGTTTGACCCAAGAGTTACAAGACACGTAGTCGTCCACTCACCTTGAAATGACGCTAGCAAGCTTTTATCTTCTTTGTTTGAACTCCGGTGACTTTTGGAATTTTCCGGCAAAACTCCGGCGGCTCCGGCGACTTTCCGGCCACTCCTAGGTTCCTTGAGAAGTCTAGAATACCTTGGTAAAATTCCTAACAAGGTTTCACAACCAAATGTGGTATAAACGTCAAACCTTCCAAGAAGGTGTTTTCCGGTGAACCGGTCTTACTCCGGTCATAACTCCGTTCGTGGTTAAACTTAACCCTCGAAACCATCATTCTACACCTCTAAAAGTGTAGAACAAGATTAAGAGTCTATTATATGATTTATAAAATCATATGAGATTAAATGAAGAATGAAATGTTAATGAGACCATTACCTCAATTAAACAAGGTTTTTCTCTTCTTTTCTCACTCTTTCTTCTTCCTTGGACCTCCTCCAACCTTGATCTCGGTTATGGCTATGGAGAATGAAGTTTTGCAGTGGTTTCTTCCTCCTTGGGTTGGCTTGGACGAAGTATAGAGAGGAGAGAGGGTGTAGAGACAAGTTTTGTCTCAAAAGGCCAATAAGTAATGGAGAGGGTCCCCATACCTTTCAAAATTGTCTAACCCATCTCTTCATCCATCATACACCACATGATCAGGCTCACAACACTTATTATTAGACCAAAAATCGTGGGGTGGCCCCCACCCATGTGGGAGGTCATCCCAATATGTCCTGGAGTGTACACTTGATCCCGAAAGTTGTATTTTCTGGACTGTTTTAATTAAATTTCATTTTATCGGGTCAAATAAACTATATATCATTCTTCCAATTAATATTGGCCCCTAGAATGAATATATATTATCCCACTTTAATTTCGTGGTCGCCGAAATTAATTTCGGGCTGTTATCTGTTTAATTACTTATACCGGTAATGGGACCTCGTTTGATCGAAAGACCAACTTTATGGCTCAACATTAATTTACACCATCATATAAATATTATCTAAACCAAGATGAATATAATATGTGGTCCGTCATTATCGGATGGTCGCCGCCCACGTGTGGGCCCAACGTGTATTTTACTGTTCAAGTAACGGTAAAAATGAGAACGCGTTGCCTCGAAAATTCACTCGTCATTTCTCATTACTTGATATGTGGTTTCATATTTGGTGACACTTTAATAAAATGTTACACCTCTTTTTAAGTGATCCCAAATGTAAAAACAGATAGAATCTTATCTGTTTGTTCCCAAAATAAAATATCTTTAAGGTAGGGTCCTCCAAAAGTACCCTCCTTTAATATACCAAGTTAATCAATATTATTCATCCCATTATTTTGGTTTCTTAGAATGTTCATATTTCTTCTGTTATAAATTCGTAATCCTACGAATTATTGACAGACCGATAATTAAGGACACCCCACTATCGAATAGTGGCCCTGGCCCGCTCGGCCGTCCAGTTGTCGCTCTTTATAACGATGGGGTCCACGACCCATTCCTACTACTATCATAATAGTATCGTTTTGGAAAATAGTAATATTTTATAAACTTGAAATATCACGTGTGGTCCCACGTCTAAATTAATAACCCTTTATTAATTTAGGACAAAATTTTACTTTCTCATTTATCGAGACTACTCTTAGTCTCGATTTACCTTCTTTAACCATGTACTTTACGGAAAAAAAAAATTTATCTGGGTAAAATTCGGGTCCGGTGTTACATAAATCATGCCAGAATGCTTAAATACTGATTTTATACCGTTGCTCTGTTTTCATCATTAGTTGTATACCGGCAATTTGCAGAAGACGGTAGGAATTACTGCTCGACTATGTATTCCAATCAAGCATGAAGATGAGAAGAAAGGATTGTACGTTGTTCAACCTGGCGAGGACGAGTACGAAGGAAGAAAGCAGTAGCGATGGCCTTGTGATTCGTTCATCCGATGAGTTGCAGAGCATGGTTTTTGGTCATCTACTTCAGATCTAATTACAAAAATGCCGGCTATACTGTACAATTTACCATTAAGATAAGGGGTGGGAACGATGAACAACAAACATCACCTCAATTCTCTTCACGAATCTCCATTTTTTTAGCCACCACAATATTACCTGTGGGACAGGGAGCTACCTCAACGTTCTTGGCCAGGGTTATCATAAGGATGATTAGATATAGTTTTCGTAAATGTATTATTCTATGTACACATTTTTATTAATATGTTAAATTCAATTCCGTTTTTTACAAGAATATTACTAAAATAAAACTTATTTACATAAATATGATTATTCTTTACAACAACGCAGTGTTGTGGTAACTTAAGTTCAAAACTTGAACATGAATTACTATGATTTCATTACTAGTCTAGTAACTAGTCATATTTTTGTAAACCATCTTTATTTGGGTCATATTTATGTAATTATTTCAATTCAAAACTACTTTTATTTTGTCCCCTTATAAAAAATTATAAGAGTTGCATTTAAAAAGATTACTTTCTATGTCCCATAAAATAGTTTCTACTTTAGTTTGGATTAGAATTTAAGAAAGTGAGAATAAAGTGAAAATGCATGAAAGTCCAACAAGTAAAGTGAGAAATATTTTATTGGATAGATGAAGTAGAAATTAATTTCATTTAAATTTTTTAATTAATTTCATATAATTTACTTACATTAATTATTTTGAAAAAATTACATATCAATTCATTTGGAATAAAAAATGAATAAAAAGTAAAAACAAACATTTGGAAACCCATGTTCCCAATTGGTTAAAGAATAAAAGAAATCTTTATACTCCGTATTCGGAATGAGACCCTATATGCTACACCCGGTTGTATGTACATCCGTGGTCCAATTAACATAAAAGCCCATTAACAGATCTAGCCCATAACACACCTGGCCCCAATTTTTACCGGGTAATATCGATAACCAAAAAACAGAGCCTGCGATTTAAACATATCAAAAAACGGAAAAGTAACTTCTCTCGAACTACCTTCTGAAATTTCTTTGAAAACGACGCAAGCATTCATACACGCCGTATTAAAGCTCGAAAAACGATGACAACCTCCAGACGATTGTCAACTTCGCGGAGTTGTTCGTAGAGTTGCAGAGCAACGACAAGTGAAGAACAGAGGAAGAGTTTGAGCAGCAAGTTGTTTCTGTTTGAGCATTGAAGCGAGTGATGGACCTACTATCCGAGTATGAGATGATGAAGAACGCAGATAAGCATGAAACTGCAGAAGGATCAGAGAGGTATGTAATATTATAGTGTTGAAATTTGTATTCAAGTAATGATTCATCAATATACTTGCATGTTTCGAAAATTATAGAAAAAATGAAATGATTTTGACAAATCTGAAGCAGATTATGAATTTGATGCATGATATGTGTTTATTAAGTATATCATTTGAGGTTTTGTTCAAAATACGAAGGTTATTGCTCATTTTACTCTACTTTAGGTCATATGCATTACTAAATAGTTAGAACATGGTGATACTGTAATTAGGTTACTTCTAAGATGATAAAATACTCAATCTGTGGTATACAGTACTCATCTATGAATGGAGTGGTATGTGCTTTAAATTTTCTGTACTTGTTGAATAATATCCTTATGATTCATATGTGTTTATGCTAATTAATCATAATGTGACATTAAATTTGAAGTCATACTCATTATTTGAACACTGTATCAAATGAACAAATAGACATTGTTTCATGAACAATGTGTCATGAAGTGCAGTAGATTTTTTGTTATACAATATACTTGTTCTGTAATTCGTTTGCATGGACATTGTGTGTGTGCTCATAATGTGAGTGTAAGATGCTCAAATTGTAAAACAGTGTGTCACAATTTTATAGTACTGAAAACTGGTGATAATATGTTAGTTATTCATAATGTTAATTTAAAAGTGAACTAATACTCATAAGTTGATTAGTACTTTCAAATAACCATATGGTGTTATGTTTTCTTAAAAAGCTATGAAAAATTTGTCTTAGAATATGCTTGTCATAAACTACATTTACATATAAATATAGTTTGTATAGAATATGCCTGTGATTGAATAGAGTTACAAAATAATATTTTGTGTGCTCATGATTTGATATATATTACTCATTTTAATTAATTATACAGGATTTTAGATCCACGACCTATAAGTGAGATCCCAGTGCTGCGCTCAAATCCAAAAAAGAGAGTAAAAAAGACTTCCAAGGTTCCACAAAAGCAGAAGAAGATGAAACCAAAAGCAATTCCAAAAAAGGAAAAGGCTAATATGGACTTAATAAAACAAATTGAAGCTGAGATAAAGATGAGTGATGAAGAAACAAGGGTTGCAGAAGTAAGGAAGGATAGCACTAAGAAGACTGAGCATGTTGGAGAACAATCTGAGAAACAAGGGAGGGATACTGAGCACCAAGGTAAAGAAACTGAGCACCAAGAGAGGGAAACTGAGGAGCATCAGAATGTTGAAGAAACAAGCAAAGGTGGCAGTAAGATGACTGAGAATGTTGTAGAAGAATCTGAGCACCGAGGGAGTGAACCTGAGCAGCAAGGTATTGAAACTGAGCAACATGATAATGTTGAAGAAACAAGGAATACTAGCAGTAAGACAACTGAGGAGGTTGGAGAAGAATCTGAGCAACAGGGAAGGGAAAATGAGCAACAAGGTAGGGAAATTGAACAAAATCAGATTGTTATAGAAGTACAACAAGGAGCTGCACAGAGAAATAATGAGAAGAAAAGAAAGAGAAATAATGCAGGCTCAATTAAGAAAAGTACAGAACAAGGAAATTCAAGCAAAGAGAAAGAGAGCAAGGAAGTTAGTCCAAAAAGAAGAACTACAAGATCAACAACTTCAGAAGCAACTGAAAAGAAAATTGATGAAGTTCAGAAAAAGAAGAAAGAAGTTCATGCAAAGAAGAAAATAACAAGGGAAGCAGAGTCAATAAAAGAGAAGAAGCAGAAGATAAAGAAGAAGAAAGCAGAAGAAGAGGAAGAATTTGAGGAGGACGAAGAGGAGATAGAGAAGGAAGAGAATGCAAAATACCCAAAGCTGTGGACAAGAATGTCTCCGAGTAGTATAACAGAAATAATGAAAAATCTAAGTGCAGAACAGAAGAAAGAGGTGGTTGAGATGGGATTTGGCCCCTTACTGAACCTTGAAGTGAAGCAATTGCCAATGCAGTTGGCATATTGGTTGCTGGACAATTTTGACAGCAGAAGTGTGTCTCTTCTTCTGCCAAACAATGAAAGGTTGAGGATTAATGAAGATGGAGTGCACGTGACATTGGGGTTTCCAAAAGGAAAGATTAATGTGAAGAATTTGATTGACACTGAATCTGAGAATACATCACACATGGTGGCTAATTGGAGATCACAATTTCAGACTGAAAATGGAGTTGTGAAGACTGCTCAAGTGAAGAAGGTTATAGAAGAAAACAAAGCAGGTCGAGTATGGTTTAAAAAGAATTTTTTGGTTCTCCTGGTAACGTGTTTGATTGAAGGGAAGCAAAATTGCTTTGCCAATCAAAGCATTCTGAAGGCATTGCAGGATGATTCAAAAATCAAGGATCTGAATTGGTGTGGATACACTTTGGAAACATTAATTGAAGCAAAGGACTATTGGAGCAAAAATAGAGAAAGACAGTTCCCAGGGCCTTTATTATTTCTGATTGTAAGTTACAAATTCTTAATGTTATTGCTCATTTTTACCACAATATTACTCATATCCTCATATACACTACACAATTCTAAAATCTCATAAAATATGTAGGTGTTCTATGTAGACAACATTGTGTTCAAAGGCAGAAAAGTGGACAGAGCATTGCCATCTATTATTGGCTGGACAACACAAAAGCTGAACAAACGACAGAAGGAAGAAATTGAAACTGGAGGTTTTGGATACGGATATATAGATGAACCTAACAAAGGGGAATTGATAGTTCCAAAACTGATCACAAATGAAGAAGAAGCTGAAATCCAGATTGAGGGAAACAATAATCAGGAGCCAAAGAAGGTAAGGACAGTATTATGTAATTTTAACAGAAACAATTGGGTAAATATATAAATGATAAGTATGATATCTAGATATGAGTATTTAGTACAAAGTAATGAGTGCATTTAAGAAGTTAAATAAAAAAAAGATAATAAATGTGTTAAAAATATGGGAAAAAATTCTAAAGACTGAATAAATTAAACTAATAAACATATATGCTTCATTCAATTATTTTAGTATAAACTCAATAATAACATAAAGAATGCTCAATTACTGTTCTAAATTAATCATTAAATAACTGCAGGATATTATGAAGGAGTTTGCTGCAGCAGCGAAGAATTTGGCAGAAAGCATGGCCAATTTTGATGAAAAATTTCAACAGGCTGCAAAGGTGTTACCTGATGATGAGACAATGAAGATTTTAATGGGAAAAGTCCATGGGCTTTTCAACACATATTCATCAGAAAAGGAGAAAGAAAAAGAAAATGAAACCGAAGTGTCACTGACTCCAGATGATGGATTCTGGACTGAAGAAGTGCTCAAAGCAGTTGAAGCTATTGAAATGGCTCAGAAGAAAAGAGTTGAGAGGCCAACTTTTACTCAGTATGAAAAGCCAAGCTTCAAGTTGCTTTCACAGGAGTCAAATGATGGGGCGAATACATATGGGGATGATGATGAGCATCATCATGACATAATTGAGCAACATGGCAATGAAATTGAGCATGCAGAGGATGGTCCAAGTGAGCAAATGAATAAGGATAATGACAATGCTGAGGATGTTAATGAGGATGAAGAGGAATCTGAAAAGGAAGAATGTGAAGAAGAAAGAGACAGAAGGTTTAGAAAGGGTAAGCAAGTTGAACAATATCACATTGAACCAAAAGAGAACAAAGTGGAAAGAGAAAAAAGAGAAACAGCCCCAGCACCTGCTGTGAAGTCCCCATTCATGAACAGAAGTATAGATGCAAGGACAACACTTGGCAGTGAGGAAAGACTACTTGCAGGTTTTGTGTTCAATGATCATTGTGACAAGAAGTAAGTCGCTAAGTTTTTCTTAATCATTTCGTTTAATATAATGCACATTTAATATTTGAAGGTTACTCATTTTGATATAATAATTCTTTTCAAACAGTGTTGTGGTGTTCAAGCATTACAACTTCACTCTTTCAAAAGCTCAGATGGAAACAATGAAGAGCAACACAAAAGTTGATGCTGGAATTATAGATATATGGGCAATGTTGCTTAATCATAATGAAAAGTTCAAAAGCCCTGAAGCTAAAAGCAGAATGATTTTCTCAACAAGACCATGTGTAAGAAGTACATATTCATTTACTTAGTATTACTAAAATGAAACTAATATATTATAATATTTAATGACAGCATGTGCTAGATCAAAATCATCTCACCGCTCCACAAACAAGGAACAAAAGGTTTGCGGCAGAAATTGGCAAAGAATTTCCCTGTGCAGATGGAAATAAGTTGAGGTCAACAGACCTATTCATATTCCCAGATGAATACAATGGGTGCTACTATATGATGTGCTTTGACTTGAAGAGCATGAAGTTCTACATCATTGATAGTAGCGACGGAGATATAGCTCCTGCAGTCAAGTACTTGTTTCAAATGTCATACCTGGTAAATGTTTTATATATTTCTTTTTATTTTATCACATATGGATAAATAATGTGATGATTTAGTATATGAGTAATGTGCACTTGATAATTGAGCAACTACATAGACAATATGTGCATGAACATAAGAATATGTATAATTCTGTTTTTGAAATTTTTAACTACAGAGAAGTGGATTTGTGAAATTTCTTCGAGATCAAAAACACCCAAAGGCAGATAAGGTTGTGAAGCTGAAGGAAGAAGTGGTTAAAATGCATTGGAGAAACAAGAAAAACAAAACCAATGAGGGAGTTTATTTGATGAGGCACATGGAGACATTTTATGGTGACACAGCATGGGAGTGTGGATTAGATAAACAAAGTGTAAGTCCAAAGTTGTTTAATATAGTTTTCAAACACAATAATTATGTGAAAACTTGAATATCTAAATTATAATGTTTGTACAGGAAAAACCAATTGAGATGCTACGGATTAAGTACTTGCATGCAATAGTAACATCTGATAAGAATGAGATCAAGAAGAACATCATGGAACAAGTGAAGAAACACAATGTGTATATCTAGAAGATTTGTAATGCTATTGATGATTGTGGGCATTGATGAACATATTGTTGTTTTTTAATTCATGCTAAACAATATTAGTATTTGGGACATATGATATTACTATTAAGCTTGGATGACAGTAGTCATGTTAGTAATATTAAATAAGGACATATGCTTATGGGAAGTTCATATTATTGATCATTATTAGTAAGTTCTATGCTCATTTCCTTGCTTACTTATACACATTTTAAGGTATTAATGATAATTACTAGTAAGTACTATTCTCAATTCATTTATTACTTATACAAAATTGTAAGGAGTGAGCTTTTAAATTTAAATTCTTTGAGTGTGAAAGTAAGACAATGTATTAATTCATTAAATAAACAGTGCGGGGGTGTTTTTTCCAATTATTCGTAATGTATTTATAATGGTATGAGTCTTCACTACGAAATGAAATAGATAATTTAAAGTTTTTTTTGGGAAAAATATGTATATATTTGTGTTCATTGCGAAATAGTAATTATACACATTCATGATGATTGTAATATTGATTGCTGACATCTGTATTTATGAAGTTTATATTAATACTCATTATTAGTAGCGTAAATGCTCATTTAATTACTTAGTATACACAATTTGAAGACTGATCAATTGAATTTTAGAACATTAAGTATGAAATTACGTTATACAAATTTTCTTATAAAAATTATATTTAATTTGAAATAGTAAACACATAATTTAGTGAGTCTTGCATTCAAAATGCAATAACTAAAAAATTATATTTACTTCTATACTCATTTTGTTAACACGTGGTACTCATTGAAGCACAAACAATTACTCAAAAGAAGATTAGATCAGAGGAATGTATGATTACAAAAAAGTAAAAACTACAACAAAAACATAGAGGAACAAAATGTAAAGTCTAAAAGTGAAAATAACTGAAACTAAAATGATGATAAAAGATAAAAGATGTTCTTTTTTGAATAATATAATAAGTATGTAAATAAAAAACAAAGCTTTTAAGAATGTTTACACATTTCAAGGTTCAATATTCGAAGTACTAGCTGCAGTTGAATTGTTCCTGCCTTGGACTTTAAGGTTCATATTTCAGAGAACATTTATAATATTCCAAAGCATAATTTTAAATGATTAACATACAGCTACGGTCTGAGCATGAACACAAAAATGTTGAGTAATAAAAAAACCTGACACCAGTCATTAGTAAACTAGTGAATATAACAGTATTACTACATAGCTATTGGAAAATCAAACTACAAATTTGCTTGATCAGTTTCAGATGTACTAGCTTGACGTGACTTCTTCTTTGCTCTAGCTTGATTTGTTTTGATTTCAATAAGACTCTTGCGACGGACATTTCTTTCACCCTTCTTCCTTGAAGACTTTGGATTAGATATTGCTGAACCCAAACCAACTGTAGAAGATTCACTATCTGAAAAGTAAATACTTCCAACTTGCTCTTCAACATCCACTTTCAACTTTGTAAAAGATTCTTCACAAAAATGTCTTGCTGCAGAATTAGAATCACTAGAGCACAAAAGCTTGTGAAATTTCTTTTGCATTTGCATTCTCCAAACAGAAGGTAAAACATTAGAAGTCCCAGATGAGGCATATATTTGTTCAGTTGGAACACACTTTGCACTACGCGTCCAACGTTTCAGAACATAACAATCCGGTATAACTTCTACACAGTGAATATGATATATACGAAGAATATGACAACACAAAATACCAACTTCTGAGAATTTCTCACATGAACATTTAACAAAATGTGTTGTCATATCAAAAGAAACCCAATGTGAAAATATATCTATTTGAGGCATCCATACCAAATATGACATCAAAGAACCTTGTTGATGTCTAAGTTCATATTTCAGGGACATACCTCGTAGAAATTCTTTCTCAAACAGTTTATACGCATCAATCGTGTAGACCTTGGAGGCTTTATGTAACAAACCAACAAAAGGAATGGCAATTTCCGGAAAACCATCCCAACAACGTTGCTGATCTTTACCCTCATTACTTCTCCATTGACTCACACTTTCACTAAAAAAATGGTAGAAGTCACAAAGACACGAGTTTGCATTCAGTTTTCTAGATATTGAGTTATTCGTGGACTCGCTTCGTTGTGAAGACAAAATTCCAGCAGAAAAGAACTGCTTTGAAAAAGCTGGACACCATTTCTCTCTCATCTCGTACAGTTTGGTCAACCAAGGATTATCAGAACATTTGTATTCACAAACCATCCTGCAAAATATGAAGCAAAATACTCATTTAAAAAACACTATTACTCATTACAGATAAGCAGTTTGCTCAACAAGAAGGTATACTGTAAATGCAGAAAACATAAAAGGAAGTATACGAACAATGAAAAATACCTATTCCAATAATGATCAAACTCTGCAACAGTCTGACAGAGTTTCAAAACATGATCAAATAAAGCCAAAAAGCCTTCGTCATTCCTCAAATCTCGTATATGTTTTTTAGAATTTTCAATTATGTGCCATATACAAAGACGATGCCTTGAAGAAGGAAAGACTTTAACTATTGCAGCAGACATGGCGGATGACTGATCTGTCATAATAGTTTTCGGATGCACAAAATCCATTGAATTCAGAAAAGTAGTGAAAAGCCATTCAAAAGATTCAATTCTTTCATTGAGAAGAAATCCACAACCAAACATGCATGTATGGGTATGATGGTTAATTCCTACAAACGGTCCACATATCATATCGTATTTATTAGTACGATAGGTCGTATCATGAATAACTAGCTCACCAAAAGATAGATAATCTTCCTTCATTTTTTTATCTCTCCAAAAGAAACTGACTAAAGAACCATCCACATCTATCTCAAAAGAGAAGAAGAAATCTTCTTCATTTGACTGCCTATTCTTAAAGATGTTAATCAGGGTATTGGCATCAGAACCATCAAAAGATTTCTTGACCTGTTTTGTCAATTCGTTATATGCATCACGCAAGAGAAAACCAACCGAAGGAGATCCACCTGCTTCCGCTTGCAAACATCGAAATCCATCAGCTATCTTGACTCCTTGTTTTTTCAAATGATGCAAGTAATCTAACTCATTAGAAGAAATAGAACGATGAGATCTAACGTGATGAACTAATGAGTTTGGACAAAACTGATGATTATGGTCCATAAGGTGTCTGACAACAACCCACTCACCGCTAGATTTTATCTCAAAATAAATTCGTGCCTTACAATTAGTACGAATGTCAACTTTTGTGAATTGCTTCCCATCAACGCCTTTATTTTTTTTTAAGCCTTGTTTAGTGCAGCAGAACTCCCTTCCCCTAAAGCCAGAACCACCATCCCTCTTTCTCAAAGTAGAGTACCTAACTCCAAAACCAATCCGAAAAGCATAATCATTATACAATTGAAATGCTTCTTCCTCTGAAAATACAGTTGTACCAAGCAACTCAGAAAATTCAGCTTCCTTCACTAATATGGTTTCAACAGAAACAGGATCATGACAAACTTGTACAGTCTCAAAACTAGATGAACGTTCAGCTGCAAAAAATTAATAAAGGTAAAATAAACTAAAGATATAAAATTCCAGTAAAAGAAAGGGAAACAATGTACGTAAGAAATGAGCAATACTTGGTCCGAAAGAAAGAGATTCTGTTGCACAAACAAGATTTTGGTCTTCACTGAAATTAACAGCAGAATCCAAGAAATCTAGATGAATGGAAAACCATTACAAGAACATCACAAAACAAAATTCAAAATATAAACAGATTGATTAAAGAACAAAATGTATGAGTTGCAATTAGAAAGTATATTACTGGATTGAATGCCAACAATTCCGCCTCCAGAATCTATATCCTCAATTAATCTTCCACGGGGAGAAATACAATCTGCACAGAGTAAAAACAAAACAAACAAAACAAATGTAAACTCAAAACTGATCAACTAAATACTCAAAACATATCAACTAATGTAATGAATTAGTTCATAGAATAAGTACCTCCAAAATCAGCCATATGGTCGATAAGAATCTAAAACAGAAAAAAATTGAACTGAAACAACTTATAATAGTTATAACAGTAGCGACAACGTATAACAATACAACCAAAAAATAAGTTGAGTAAAAATAAAGATGATTACAGGAAAAGATAACTTCGACGAAACAAAAAAGAATTTGAAACGGAAGAAGGAAAAAACATATAAATGTAAAACGGCAAAGAAAACTACTTACCTAAATCGATCAGTGAAGTAAAATCGAAACTACGAATGGAGAAAGCTGCAGAAGAAAACCGGGAAGATCGATAACAAATAAACAGAAGAAGGACCGGAAGAACCGATCGAAGAACAAAATCTATGGCATTGCTACTAAGAAGCAATCCGCGGAAGAAGATGAAAGCTGCGAGACGACGACCAAAGGGAAAAAGCGAACAAAGGGAAAAAGAAGAAATAAAGAGGATAGAAGTTGCAGTTTATTACAAAATTACCTGGCTGTACCAAGAGGAAGGTACAGCCGGGTGTACCATATAAATTGCGATTCGGAATGGGGTCTTCCGATTGGGCGCACTAAAATATGATTTAATTCAAAAAACCTAATCTAGTCTGAATAGGGACTTCCGAATCACTTATTTTCAGAAAATCTAAGGTCTAGCTACTCAAACCATAAAAAAAAGGACTAGCTACTCAAGGACAGATTTTATCCTTCCGCTGAAACTATCTGCTTTCTCACATAAAGAGCCGTTTGCTAGCACGAAAGTCGACTGATTTGACTGATTCTGCTGAAATTTAGAAAGTTCAGTCTGAAGTCTGAAGCCTGAAGTCGACTGCATTGGCTGATTTGATTTAAGAAAAAATTATTTTTAAAATAGATTTTATTAATAAAATAAAGAAAAAATTGTATGTAAAAATATTTGATACAAATACACTCAAGTCTGCTGCCGCTGAAACCGCTCAAGTCAGCTGAAACGTAGCTTCAGTCTCCACTGCTCTCAATCGAGGCTACTCCATTTCTTGCCAAATCGCAGGTACAATTTATATGATAAAAACATTCTCTTCATTTATGGCAAGGGTTCAGTTTTGTAATCCTCTGTATTGCATAAATCGATTTCAGTTTTGGTGTTTAAATCGTAGTACTTCTCTGTGTGCGGTCCATTAGGAGATAGTACTGATTATAAGCTTGGTAATGTGTTGGAATCATTTTCTGAATTGCAGAGATCTTTGTAAAGCGTATGTCATGAATCCATTTATCCATTTCCCAATATATAGTATGTGGGTACCACTTCTGTCGCAGATTATACTATACATCCGGGTGTATGTACACCCGGTTTTTAAATGACGTGGCAGCCATTTGTCTTTTCTTTCTCTTCTTCAGCCGTTCTCCTTTCTTTCTTTTCTTCCTTCATCCTCTTTCCTTTCTTTTCATCCCCCAACCTCTTTCCTTTCTTTTCTTCCGCCATCCTCTTTCCTTTCGTTTCTATTTTCTGCCCCCATCCATTTTGATTGTTACGTTTTAGGGTTGTTTTTTACTTTTTTGTTTCTTTTCGTTTCTTTTGTTGTTTAGTTCTTCTTTTTTATACATTATACTAAGCAAATTAGAAATGAGTTTTACCTTAAACTCAAATGAGTAAAACGTCTAAAAAATGAACATACATAAATGAGCTTTTGAATTTTTGAATACTCATTTTGTAAATGTTGTATACTCGTTTAGTATATCTGTTGTGCTCATTTTTAAAATGTTTTAGCAATGCTCATTTCTAAAGTCTCATATTACATTATTAGATTTATATAAGAGTTGATTATAGACACGAGATCACAAATCATGATACTCAATCGCAGATTCTAATACTCAATAACGGAGGTTTGATGCTCATTGAAAATGTCTTGATGCTCAACGAATAAAACTTATATTTTCCATATCAATGCTCATCTTGTAAGTTACATATGCTCATTTGTATAGGTCTGATGCTCATTAAAAATTCATTAATGCTCATTTAATACAAATCATTATTTTCATCTCAATATAGGATGTTTGATGCTCAATGAAAATATAGTGATGTCCAATTAACACGATTTTTTATCAATGCGCATTGTGTAGCTACACATGTTCATTTGGTACTAATTTTATGCTCATATGTAAAATGTCATATCAATGCGAGTGTAAAATGTTCAACGAAAAATTTACAATGTTCACATCGATGCTCATCTTGTAAGTTACGCATGCTCATTTGTATAGGTCGAATCCTCATTAAGAAGTCATTAATGCTCATTTTACAGAAATCATGATTATCATCAATCTCAATAGAGGATGTTTGATACTCAATGAAAATGTCGTGATGTTCAAATAACAAAGCAGCTAACAAATTCATTAATACTCATTTTGTAAGTTATGTATGCTCATCTGGTAGAGATTTTATGCTCATTTTCTAAATGTAATATCGATGCATTTTTTAAAGTACTATTTTACATTAATTCACATATTGAAATTCACAGGAGTTGATTACAAATATAATTTAATAAAATTTTATAAAAGAAAAAATAACAAAAAGAAAGTGAATTAGAAGTTATGAAGCGGGGATCAAAATTCTCAATATTAGACTCCTAATACTCAACAGAATGGGTATGATGCTCATTAAACGTTTATTATTGATCATTCACTAGAAACCGTGAATTTCATCTCAATAGCGGATGTTTGATGCTCAAATATTAAATGTGAATATATAAAACGTGAAATGAGTATCAAAAAGTTCAAAATGAGCATTACGCCAATATGCATGGATATGACATTTAAGTTGTCTCGTGTAATGCTCATCTTAAAATGAGCATTACACCAATATCAAATGAGCATATCTAATTTACGAAATGAGCATAGAAAAAATTTAAAAGCTCATTTAAAATCTCGAGTATGCTTAAATATCAATTTGTATATTCAGTATGCTCAACAGAATAGGTCTGGTGCTCATTAAAAGTTCATTATTACTCAATCTCCAGAAGTCGTGATTTTCATCTCACTAACACCATATAAAAAAATTAGAAACATATTTATATAAAGTAATAGTATGATTCATAGATCAAATAAATACTTCAAAAATATGAATTAGTCTTTTAATATAGTAATAATGAGCAAAAGCAAAAGAATAGTTAATATTATAATTACTATTAATAATACGCAGTATGAAACTATATAGGATAAGTAAAATAAATGAACTGATTATCCCAACAAGACAAGTCAGCGAGATGGTTGGAAGGCCGCTTATCTTACTTCATGTCGTGGGATCGAATCCCGCTGGGGTTTTAATTTTTTTAGTGAAGGAATTCAGTTCCTTGTGGCCGCGATTCGCTGGGAGCCCACCAATCAAATTTAATAATTGGGCTGGATGTACGTACACCCGGGTGTACGATATAGGGACTCCACTTCTGTTGGCTTAGTATGTTTTCTTTTGGACTGAAATTTGCTGGTCTGGTCTGGTCTGTTTAAGTCTGGTCTGGTCTGGTCTATTTAAGTCTGGTCTGGTCTGGTCTGAACTGGTCTGGTCTGGTAAATGTCTGGTCTCTGTGTATTTTATAACTACGGAAGTCTGGTCTGGTCTGTTTAAGTCTGGTCTGGTCTGGGACTGAAAACAGTCCAAAAGAAAACATCCTTACTATTTCTTATTATTATTTTTAATTTATGTTTATGAATCATTTTCCTTCTATGTTTGTTCTTGAAGACTTGTAACTCTATTATATAAGCATAGATGGGTAGCCATGTCTAAACTCTGATTTTTTGGTGTTATTTCAATGTATAATAACTCTATATGTTGTTTGTGTTCACAATGTGTTTGATGAAATGTCTCACCCACATTCCATGAATATTTCAACAAATGCAAATTCGATTGTATAGTGTTTTCATTTGCTAATCTTTAAATCAGCTCTTTATTTTAATCACATTTAGGAAATTTCTTTATGTTTTATTAGTGCCCATCTTATCCTAAAATGAAGTTCTAATTAAACTCAAACAGTATACTCTTTGCCACAGTCACTCCAAAATCTTTTTTGACTGAGGCATGGATGTTGTTATTGTTTATAATCTTCATCATAAATATTTGGGAGATGATATATATAGAAGCTGGACGAGTGATGATGAAAATAACAAATTATGGGAAATGAAATATATGTACTACTCACAACTATGAGGCCACTAATGATTTCATCAGTGTAATATTGAGGTTGAGATTCCTGCAAAGCAAGCAAACGGTCAACCATGGTGTTCTGCTGCTCTGCTCTGTAGAATACTCCCTCCGTCCCAAAATTAACTTCCCGTTCGGTATACGATGCTTGACTGACGATAAAGCAACTCGATCCCTGCTCACACTCGGATTATTTTTAGTAAATAAAATTTACATATTCAGAAACTACATTAAAACCGCTACAAAGCCTGATCAATAAAATTTAAATTTGATAAAAATTTGATATAAAAAGTAAAAGATTATGAGTGATTCAAGTTGACCAATGAATAGTGAATGGGAAGTTGTTTTTGGGACGGAGTGAGTATAAAATTAGAAAACTATTCCTGCTCTTTTTATTCTCTCCGTCTTATACTCCTGCCACTTTTTCCTCCCCATCTGATTTTCTTTCACCTCTAGTCAATAGGTGCTTTTCATCAAAGATGTTCTTGGGCATTGTCTAGTGATATTGCCACCAACAACTTAGCATTTAGCAATATATACCAAAAAATAAAAGACATTAATTATATTGGATAAACCTAAGATTAGTATATAATAAAGAAGAATGGGCAGAATATATTATATCTCACATTGAGCTATTGATTTTTGAAAATGATTTTTTTGAGTACAAAAATCTATTTTCCCTCTTTCAATTTTTACTAACACATTGTTAGAATTCTACTTATAGATGGATGATACACGCATATTGGAACTTCATAGAAAGATACAAAGATTGCAAATGGCTACAATTTATGTTGTATGCATTGTAGTTTATTACTTCATAACCAAAGGTTCTCGAAATAGAATACCAAGCCGTGCTCTAACCACAGAGAGAGAGAAAGAACAAACTAAAACGATAAAAAAAACTTGATACTAATGAGGGTTGTAAAATTATTAGAATGGTTCATGATGATGAATGTAATGATGACATTCTTTGACAAAGATGCTTGAGAGTGTAAGCTTTTTGTTTGTTGTTAAGTTATTAAAATTATAATTTCGATAATGTTGGTAAAAGTGATGATAAGTGTATTTTGTTTATTTAATTATTACTTGCAAGTTTTGAATATTATATTAACCAATTTTTCTTTTTGGATGCATGCCATATCAGTGAAGGCAAGTGTGTGTGAAAGTCAAGCTTATTTGGAGCGCATCGACTTTTTTATGTTATTGATTGGAAATGCGCAAGATAAATATAACTGCTAGTACTTGAAATAAAATGTGAAACTTAATACGCTGAGATATTATTGTCCTATGATCGCTGAAGTTAATTGTCTTCTTTTATATTTTCATTTTTCATTTCGCTTTAATTTCTTTTCAAAACTCAAAAGTATGGGTATATAGCAAGTTTTTAGATATATTATACTTCAATTATTTTAATTATCAAACAATTTTTTTTTTGAAAAACAATAATTTTTTGTTTGCTGATGTGAAATTGAAATGTGAATTTAAATATTGTTATTATTTAAATAAACATTATGATGTTTTAACAAAAAATATGAGGTGAGTATGTTTTTTTACTTATCAAGCTTATTAGTCATTTTTTTC